CGGACTCCATTAAAATTAAGAATTTCTTTCCATCAGATGAATCAGTAAGAAACTGAAGAGGCAAACCACAATCTGGGGAAAAGATATACTCAGTATCTATACTGAACAAATCACTTACAGACTCTATAAAGACTGCCTACAAATCAACAAGAGGGGGAAAAACAGTTAAAAATTGAGCAAAAGATCTGAGTAGGCATTTCATACAAAAGGAAATCCAAAAGACCTGTGAACATATGATAATGTGTTCAATACAATTACTCACCGATAAAATATAAATAAAATCACAAGGAAATGCCACAATGACTTAAGTTACAAAATTAATATCAAGTGCTGATGGGAATGTAAAATGATAAAACCACACTGGAAAACTGTTTGGCAGCAATATCTAGTAAAAATAAATGAATGTCTGTCCTATGATTCAGTAATTCTGTTCCTGGGTATATACCCAGTTAAAACATGTATAAGGATACTCATAGAAGCTTTGCTCACAATAGCCAAAAGCTAGAAATAACCCAAATGTCCATGAACAGTAGGATGTATAAACAAACTGTGGAAGGTTCATACTGAATATCATACAACATAAAACAAGAATGAACTACTGATACACACAACAACATAGACGAATCTCAAAAACATTACACTGGGCCAAAGAAACCAGGCACAAAAGCACCCCTACTGTGTAATTTATTTATGTCAGGTTCAATATCAGGCAAAACTAATCTGTGTGACAGAAGTCAGAATAGCGGTTACCTCAGAGTAGAAAAGTGATTTCAAGCAGTGTGGGGGTCAGGAATTTTCTGTTGTGATGGAGATACTCTATACTTTGGTCTGGATGGTGCATACACAGTGTATTAATATATAAAAATTCATTGAACTGTATGCTTATTATTTATAGCTCTAGCACTTAGGCCATTTAACCAGCAGACCACGTGATAAATATGTCTCTGGTAAGCCACAATAGGTGAATCATGGGACAGGCCGCACGGATTTAGCATCAAGGCTTTTCCATCTACAGCAGAAGGCAGTACATCTTTCAAAACACCATTCCTCACATGCCTCTGAGACTTGGTAGAGGCTAATCAAAGAGTATCAAGTAACTGTCAATCCAAAGTTGCTTGTCTTGAATTGAAGATGCTATCAGACCCACCAAATGAAAAATGACTGAGTGATCACAGCATCCATGCATCATATCATGGATGTGATGTAACTTAGGACAAGAGCAGGTGCAGAAGACAAAAGCAAGCTGGATGAACAGTTGACTCAGATCCCCATAGACCCGTATCACTGATGCCTCCCTCTAATTTATATATGTATGTATGTCTGTGTATATATATCTGTGTCTCTGTATATCTGTATCTATGTATATAAAATTTCCAATTTCCTACAGCCAGTTGACAGTTTGGGAAAAAAGAGAGGCCTAATACAAGGAAGACTTGGTACAACATAGCTGCCACTCAGGTGGGAAGTCCTAAAGGTATCTGATGAGGGTAAATTTCTCACTGCCCATGGCTAGCCATTCACCTGGTTATCTACTTTGTGGAGAGAGAAGTTGCCTAAAATAAGAATATTCATGAACTCCTGGAAATTTTCAAATGGGTTGACTGGTTGGTCATGGGCCTGGAAGGAGCACAGCTGGAGTACTGGGTGAATGGCAGTGTGGGGAAGAGACATGGAACGAAGCACAAGGTATGTGAATCTGCATGCCCCACGTTCATGCCAACGAGAGACATCACTGCAGAAGAGGCATTAACCAATCAGGTACAGGATGACTCAGTCAGTAGATGACAGCCAGCTTCTGCTTTCAGCCACCCCAGTGATTGCACAGTGAGCACACCAGGCAGTAGGCATGGCAACAGAGATGGGGACTTTGCATGAATCCAGTAGCACAGGCTGCCCCTCACCAAGGCTGCTCAACTGTGCCGAGCATCTGAGGGACCAGTGCCAGGCCCTCAGTGTGGAACCTTCCTCTTGAGGGAACCGGTAAGTCAGTCGGTGGCATGCTGGTTCCTTCTGCCCTATATAGGGCAGTGATTCATTGTGATCGCAGGCGATATACATCACAAGTGTGAGTTTCCCTTTTTTAATCTTGATCAGTACCTCTATTGAAGGGCTATTAGTGTATCTGAGTTCTAATATAATTTCCCACATAATATCAGCTCAGTCCAGCAGAACCATTTCACAGCAAAGGAAGTGACAAGGGGTAAATGACCAAAGGATTTACTAGTTCCAACACATACCATATTGCTCAGAAATTGTAGACCTGATAGAAGCTGTATGCTGACACACAGACTTAGGCACTGGATTGTTGATAACACCCTGTAGAACTGGAATGCTGCCCCTCAGTGTTTACTGTGATAGTGTACATGCCTACTCTGATAGGGAAAGTACGTATATCCATCCCGACCGTAAGGATGAAGAGGACAGGAGGTGGCCACTTGCTTTTACAGAGCTCTGTCTTTCCCATGAGAGCAAGACCAGAAATTACCAAAAAGTGAAATTTTCCTAAAGTAAGCTTTTCTCAGCCCTTGTGCCTTATTCGTTCATCTTCCAGACAGGCCAACAAGCTGTAGGGCATGTCCAACATGGACCCGTAACATGGATACCCATACATTTCCAGATCTCTGCCCAAGGATGTAGGTTCTGAGTGGCTATCTAAAAAGATCTAATGGTTAAGACCTTTGAATACAAGTTTGTTCTTCTGCAAGCTTCAGGGAAACTCCACTATGTACACTAAAAGAAATATGGCTTCGGGAATTAATGTCAAGTTTCACTGTCAAGCAATAACCATACTTGGATCTCTGTATCTCTTAAGTGCCTCCTGAATGTTTGGGAGCTGGAACAACATAAAAATTCACATAACTGTACCAAATTCATGTATTTGGGTATCTGTAATGTTCATGGGGTACCCAGGGTATGACTTAATACGTGTGTATCCTTTTAGTTAGGAAGTTACTACCTGTTCTTATCGTGACATCCACAGATCTTGCTGTTCCTCTGGTTTCCTCAGGGACAGAAATACAGACAGCCGACCCTCGTCAGTCTTGGAAGCGTAAGAGCGCTTGGCTTCTTCGTGTCTCTAGAGGGAGCCTGCTGGCGTAGGTAAGACCTATCGTCTCATGCCCTGTACAAAGCACTCATGACAATTGGGAGGGTGCTCTGTGGAGATAATAAAGGAATAAAGCCTTCTCTTCTCATAGGCAGTATGAAGACAAGATCCTTCCTCAAAGGTCTCAGATGAGCAGCAAGTCTTCCAGTACCGTCGGTATATCTAGCCACACCAGGTATGTTTGCCTCTTCTCCATGAATATTTGTACAACAATCATCTCTAGACACACAAGCTTCTTAATTGTCTTTGTGAATTCTAATCAAATGTATTTTAACATCATTTTCATTGCCTGTTAGCTTTTGCTGTCACTCTTCAATATAATGCAAAAGTACATTTTTACTGATGCTCAAGTTTTGCTCATTGATAGTTTAAATAATAGGCTGAGTAAAATATGCTTTTAATGTATTTGTGTATTAGTATAATCAGTATGTGAATGGTTATTCTTGACTGGTGCCTATTTTTAAGGTAAGGAAACAAGTGTGTGTGACTTTCTGGTAAACATTTAACATTAAACAAAAAATGGCTAGTACAACTTTAAAAAATCTAGGCTTAAAATATCATGTGTAAAGGGAAATCAAATGTCAAAATATATAAGGTAGAATATTCAGAGTTACAGGAGAAGCATACAGATATTCATTTATGTGCAGTATTGTGAGGTCAGAGTCTGAGCAGTGAGTATGAACTCAGAGTTCCTATCATTGATATCTCCACTCTCAGAACACTGGTAGGTCCATAATAGGAAATTAATAAATACCAAATTATTTTATTTTCAACTTTCTGGACATGACATTTATCACTGGACAAATAATAGGGGAGAAATAATACAAATGGAATGATTTTTAAATGGGTTTATAATTTTATAGTCATTTAAATTGAGAATTGTTTGTCATTTGTACTCTAAGACAAGATGATCTTATATGAAAGATGGAAATAAAATTTAAGCAAGAACAGCAATATCATGTTTATACTTATATTTAAATTGGGAACTCACAGAGTAAGATGATTTAGTTCAGTCTCTCAAAGAATTTAAAGACCTCTTTTGCAGCATCTTCCTAATCACCTGCAGAAACAGTGTCTACAACTAGGTATTTCTAGAGTGTTTATCAATATAAAGTCAAAATCTAACAGTTATTGATTCTCTTTTTATGTTTAGATAACACAGTACAAATCTATTCAGTCATTCATATAAATTTTCATCTGAATATTGTGAAAAATTATATACGAAGAAATAGATTTTAGGCTGGATGTAAGTCTGCACTTGAACAAGAAGAGATTTTGTGCAATATTAGTTGTGGAGGTGGCAATAGATGTTGGAGTGGAAAGTGTGTTTCGACAGGCAGGTGAGAGGTTCATGTCTAATGGTGTATTTGAGCAATGGCGTGTCTCCCCTTAGTATACCCTGTCCTTAACTGAACGCTTTCAACTTGAGAATAGATGTATTGCAGCTTAAGGAATTGGGCATGTATGTCAGTTAAGGGTCATAGTTTTTGAAAAAACAGAAATAACTCTAATATAAGCAAAGAAAAGCAGAATTTATTTGAACAATATGAGTTAGCTCACTGAATGAACCAAAAACTATGTATTTGATTAATATGTGACAACATAATTATTTTGAAAATTTAGCATTTGTTTAAAACATTAACAAGAAAGGAAACATATATGTGTGTGTGTGTGTGTGTGTGTGTGTGTGTGTATTTCTGTGTATGTATATATGTATTTCAGGGTTATCAAATAAAGTCTTTAAACATTCATTAAAAAACACAAAAATTCACTGAAAGTGTTTCTGAACACTTTTTTATACTACAGAAAGGTATATCACAAGTTAACCCAAATCTATTTTCAAAGACTTCTCTTAAACCATGGACATTAACTCCTTTTCCTCTGTCATAGGGATATGGGAGACAATATGACCTCTGTCACAGAGTTCACCCTCCTGGAATTTCCCCTTGACACAACCATTCAGGTGTTTCTCTTTGTGCTCTTCTCCCTGTTCTTTGCCTTCACCCTGCTGGGCAATGGGGTCATCCTGGGGCTCATCTCCCTGGACTCCAGGCTGCACACCCCCATGTACTTCTTCCTCTCACACCTGGCCATCGTGGACATAGCCTATGCCTGCAACACAGTGCCCCGGATGCTGCTAAACCTCCTGCATCCAGCCAAGCCCATCTCCTTTGCTGGCTGCATGACACAGACCTTTCTCTTTTTGACATTTGCTGTCACAGAATGTCTTCTCCTCGTGGTGATGTCCTATGATCGGTATGTGGCCATCTGCCACCCCCTCCGATATTCTGCCATCATGAGCTGGAGGGTCTGCATCACACTGGTGGTGATTTGCTGGACCATTGGGGTCCTTCTGTCTTCGATTCATCTGATATTACTTCTACCCTTACCCTTCTGTATGTCCCAGAAAATCAATCACTTTTTCTGTGAAATCATGGCCGTTCTCAAACTTGCTTGTGCAGATACACACATCAATGGTTTTGGCCGGGGCAATTTCTGTGCTAGTGGGACCCTTCTCCTCAATTGTAATCTCATATGTGTGCATCCTCTGTGCCATCCTTAGGATCCAGTCTGGGGAAAATCAAAGAAAAGCCTTCTCCACCTGCTCATCTCACCTCTGTGTGGTTGGACTCTTCTATGGCACAGCCATTGTCATGTATGTTGGGCCCAGATATGGGCACCCCAAGGAACACAAGAAATACCTTCTTCTCTTTCACAGCCTTTTCAATCCCATGCTCAATCCGCTTATCTATACTCTTAGGAACTCAGAGGTAAAGAATGCCTTGAAGAGAGTGCTGGGAATAGAGGGAGCTTTATGCAAAGATGGCATCGGGGTTGACAGTGACCTGGGGGGATATTATCTCAAGAGGTTCCAAGCCCAACTCAGTGTAAGAATTACCTGAGATTCTTATTAAAAATATCTGTCTCCTAACCTACCATTTGATCACTAATTCGGTAGGTGTGGGATCTATTTTAAAAATCTGTGCCTTTAAATATTATCAGTAGCAAATGTGATGCAGCTGATCCATGGACCAGGATTTGGAAGCCACAAATCTAGAACAGTGCCCTTTGTAATTTCTTCATTTAAGCTATGGTGCAGCCCCATATCTGCCAGAATGTTTTCCTGAAATCACTAGCTCCTGAAGAGAACTTTAAAAATAAATTCTGTGCTCAAATTAGCTTGAGAATTAGTGCATATTAAATGTCTCACTTTAGGGAACTCACAGTTCATATTAGCATAGTAAAAACTGTAAGAATTCCTGTGGTAAAGAATAATTCTATTCCAATTTTTAGCCAGTGTTTTTCAAACTTACCTGGTCACATGAATTTTCTTTCTTAATGCTTATTGCAGTTTGCTGGTACTAGAGATCTTGATGTGGATTGATTTGTTGTGAATACTGCCCATAACCACCCTCTACAGCAAAATGATTTTTTTCCTGTAAGGTGAGCCTCTAAAGAGGATATAGGTTTAAACACAGTATCCTAGATCAGTCTTTGGGATCACTATCTCTACTCTTTGATGCTGGATCATCTGGAGATAGTAAATCCAGCCGTCTGCTTCATCTTGGGTATGTATTCCTGGATACATCTCAGAGGATGACCTTGTTCAATTTCACACTCTCTTCTAAATCTGAGATTAAAAAACTTTATTCTGTATCCATTTCCCTATTTACACAGTACATGAAATCAGTCTGTGTTTTGTATCTCAAGGCTTTAGAGATAAAACCAAGTTTCTCACAGAAATCTGGAAGAATTTGCAAAGCTGATTACCTATACAGTGTACAAGCTTTAGAAAAGTTTAATTCCTTGTTTAGAAAATAGAGACATGGGAGAAGTTTTGTAAGAAAATGTTCACAGGAACAGGTGCATAATGAACATGATAAATAAAAAGGAAATGAATATAAGACAGAATGCCCAAGGGGATAGTTGATCCTTCGGAGATTAAGAACAAAACGAAACAGGGAAAGTATATGATTTGTTATTCATTGGTTATTCTTACAATGAACAAATCTCAAATGATAGCCTTACAAACTGGAATTTCCTGATACTCTGTATAGAATGCCATGTACATTACTACAATCTCAACAGACAGAGTTAAGTGAAGTGTTTATGCAGTTACAAAAATTTTCTCCTAATCAAAGAAAAAAATTCTAAGGTTTTTTGTGGCTAAATACATAAATAAAACTTAGAGAAATTTTTTAACTTTGTTTCTCTACTGCTGGAAGAAAATAACAGTGTTTTAAGGGGCATAAAATAAATTATATCTTCTACAAATTGTATTTTTTAATTATTACTTTGGGGTATAGTCAGATCTCAAGTACTTAAAAAGTAACAAAGCTTGGAGATGAGTAAAGGTTTTTAAGCATGGTTATAGGAATATTTTGGTTGTAAATTAAACCCTAGAATAAATTGAAGAAGGAAGTTCTATCAAGTTTTAGTGGAGTTAAGCCCTGCGGACCAATGAAGTACTTGAAGAATTAAAAGAAACTATTTAATTGCATCAAAGTGTTTTCATATTGTTGAACAAATATCATCATTTTAATAAAGGGATCAGTGTTCTTGTTTATGAAGCTAATGTTTAGTCCTTAACAAAGTTTACAGTTAATTGAGTCAGAAAATAGTGTTCTAACCTCTCTTAGTTCACCATTTCTATAGGAATTCTGATGATCAGTTTATGAAATTATAATTTGAGCATCAATGTTTATCCAGTGTGGGGCTTCTTGATTGAGAGTTTATGGTCACTAAAGACCCCTTGGACAACCCTCAGTGGCTTAATGGATCCTGGAAAATGTGAGCAAATTTCTCTGTGCATTTGTGGTGTGTGCAGACTGGAGAGGAGAATGACAAGGAGATTTTTAGCATTGATTTCTAAAGAGATTTATGGCCTCATAAAACATTAAGAATCACTGATGTATTAATGAAAGTTGTTCCTTTTTTTTAAAGATGGACATTGCAAACCTAATCCCATCAAGTGTTAAACTTCAAAAGAGAAAAAAGGAAAGTCAGAAATGCCAGAAAACCAGTTTCTCTTGAGGAGAACCTTAGAGGCTCAAGTGCTTGTCATCAGCTTGGTACGTCAGGACACTGGTGTTCTGTCAGTTAACCTGGAATTGACCAGAACTGAGAGAACTGAATGCTTACAATGTTCACAGTCATGGTTAACCTGGATGCCAGTCTGAACCTTTATAATGGAGGATATTTCTTCCCAGGGAAAGGGTACCTGTACTCATCATCCAAGATTCCCCAGTTTTTCCTTCAAAAATCTGAGAAATGAATAAAAAGTAACATGGCTCAATGAACCTAGGATCAGAGGAAATACAGTTGAAGAATATTCAAGAGTATTTACTAAAATTAGAAAAAATTCCCCCAAATAGACCACAATTCTCATAATCAGAACCCAGGTGTTTACTTAGTGGATTTTCTGTGTCTTGGGCTGTGGTCAGTACCCTCTAACAAATTCTGCCTTTTTATTTTCCTGATTACCAGGATCCCAAGTGAAACATTGAATTTTTGACCCTTTAATACATAATTACTCCAGAAATATAATTAGTAATATTTTAAAATTGTCATTTTCCATAAATTACATGCCTGTCATGACATTCTGAAGATACATTCATCCTTGATTTGGATTTTTATTTCATCAGTTAAATGCCAACATTTTGCAAACCAGTTGCCAAGGTAATTTAGTTTGAGAGGCATTTATTTTATTTTTTTAACATTTTTATTGATTTATAATCATTTTACAATGTTGTGTCAAATTCCAGCATAGAGCGCAATTTTTCAGTTATACATGAACATATATATATTCATTGCCACATTTTTTTCTCTGTGAGCTACCATAAGATCTTGTGTGTATTTCCCTGTGCTATACAGTATAATCTTGTTTATCTGTTCTACAATTTTGAAATCCTGTCTATACCTTCCCACCCG